TTGATATAAAACTCTAGGTGGCATATGCAGAATGTGGTATTAAAAATATAACCTAAATCTGAAAGTCAGTAATTAAAATATGTCCCACAGAAATCCATATTTAAAAATGATCATTTCTCATCTTGGCATCTACATTGGTCTTAGCTGGTAAAGTTTTGCATTTGTTGTGGCAAAAGATTCTTAAAATCAGAAGGATGCATACATCAGTAGGGCTGTGCAAGATTCAAAAATTATTTGGAAGAAACCGCTCCAGCCATTGTGTGAACGATAATACCTGTTGTCAAGTTGTAAAGCAACCTGGGTTTGTTTTTTTCCAGGCTTCTTTATGACCTTGCAGAAAAGTACTGCATCATTAACCCATACAATTGACCCAAATTGATTCCCTAAAGCAAGGGTAGCTTTCTTTCAGATTCCTATGGAAACCCCCAAAAAGGCAGGCTGGCTTAATTAATAGCTATGCTTACATAAGGACTGAAGTATTTTTTTCTGAATCATTCTGAAGCATGCTCAGCCCTATAAATTAGCATTGCAAGGAAGACATTTGTACTTTTAATCTTGAGTTAATGTGTGACTGTGGCACTTCACCTTTATAAAGTGTATATTAAATAGCACTCTTAATAGCAAGTAAGGAAAGAGGAATCAAGAGAGTGATGGTAAACAAACACTTCCTGGGATCTGCTCAGCTTTGTTCTAGAAAAAAATGTTTCACAAACATGTTGAACTGCAGCAATTTGTTTACAAAAGTAGGTTTCTGGAGGTCTTGTTCAGTCATACGTATGCAATTTGGTACTGGGTTTCTAGAGCTGTGGGTTGGACATTAAAGGAACAGAATCCATAAATCTGATTGCTCCTAAAGCCAAAAACTGGAGAAAAAGATAAGAACAGCAAGAATTTTCTCTCAGATTTCCTTCTCAAATCACTTTTGGATGAATTGGCAAAATTATACAGATGGCCCACCTGCTAAATCAGGGTTGGTAAGTGAAAGTGTCTGGTAAAGGTGAACTCAATTCATATAATTCTTCAGTAATAAGAAATCATGATTTAACCATTGCAGGCTCTTATCCTTTCCTTTGAAAAAAAAACCATGTGCAGCTATTCGGATCTAAAGCAAAAATTGCTTTGGAAAGGTGGTGGGCATGCTTACTCTAGAAATAGTCATGGCCTTAAAGAAGCCAACCCTTTTCTTGGCTTACCTGGTAGCCTCAGGGTTCCTGGACAATGTGTATCTGAATTGAGGAGGCGAGAGTATGTGACAATTTGTTGCATGGTGTCTGGGCATTCTTAACTCAAAACCATACTACTGTGGGAATGCAGAGCTACCACCCAAACGTAAGAAAAATATGTTCTTATAGAAGCATTCAGAGTGCACCTATACCCTCTCTGAAAGTCCTTCTTTCCTGTATTGGATATGAATTACTGTATCTTACACCTTTCCAAGAGGTACATGATGACCTTTACACACTTCAAAGTTGTCCTGTCTCATTTCAAAGATCAAAGATACTTTATTATCTTGAGAAGAAATAGCAATCCTACCAACAGAGATTTTACCTGATATATTTTGTAAATACTCCCCTGCCATTAACTACAAATCTGTTACTGAGACACGGCAGACACTCCAAAATTCCACCTTCTCTGCAACTTTTAGGATGCCAACTTTATTTCTTCTTGTGTGACTCCTTACGGAGTGGGACCTAAACTTCAGTCTGCTTTTCTTCTGCTTTTCTGTTTCATTGGCGAGACTGAAAGTGTTTGCCATGCATCCTGCTGGCAGCTCACATTTCATTGCTGCTTGCAGTGAGCTCCTGAAAGCAATCTGCAATCTGCTGTTCGGGAAGACAAAATAAAGGGAAAGTGGATTAGGTTTCGAGTATATCAGGAATGGCTTGCAAATTGAATGGGTTATGTTGTGACACAACTTACTTTGAAATAGAATTTGAATCTTCCAGAGTCAGAGATCACCTTACATACTTGATGTATATATATAAAGTTGCAGGTATCTCCCCAGTTTGGAGGGATAGCATTTCCCTTGTACTCTTTATGCCTACCAGCAATCAAATGATGGTGCCAAAATTTTTTAAATATATTATTATATGATTATTGAGGTAGTGTACCAATGGAAATAACTAATAATGGTATAAAGATCAGGGATGACATGCTACTGGTTTGGACCGGTTCATCTGAATTGGTAGTAAAAAATGCTACTGGTTCAAGCAAACCAGTATTTCCAACAATCAGCTGGGCAACGATCACCTGTGACACATTTATATTAGCTAGAATCGTCAGATCTCCTGCTTTCTAGCTATTCTAAATCGTATGGCACAGTGGATCCCCCTCTCACTGTTCTACTTACCTTTGCAGACTCGGAAAGCTTCAAAATGTTCATTTTTAGCACTGTGCCATAGGTGCACATGCACACAAAGCACACGTGTGCACAAAGCGCACGCTCGGTAGTAGACTCATTGAACCAGTAGCAGACATCAGAGGATTTCATGATTGTGCAAGATATAGATCAGTAGATTAAGAAACAGTGAAGGAAGTAACCCCACCAAAATTGAAAGGATTGACAAAACTCAAGCACGCTTTATTTACACTTTAAAAAACGTAATTTTGTTTAGAGGGGTGCGGATGCTGAGAGCTGTTATATAATGGAGTACAAAGGGTTTAAATTACAAACAAAAACTTCCTGTTCTAAATTTTGTATAGAAAACCAATCTGCATAGTGCACGTTTCAGATTTCTTATATGAATAGTCCACCCTTTTCATGTTAGTCATTTTTGAAAGGGTGAAAGTTCTTACATTCTGCAGCCTAGTTTTTGACTTCTCTCCATTCGTGGATTCTCGGTAGAAGCAACAGCTTCAGTTTCTTGAAGAGAGTATGAATTAATTCATTTTGCTTTCAATGTGCTTCACTGGGTCTCCTACATTTGCCAATGCACATTCTCTATAATTGGCACATTTTTCTCTTCCTGTTATGTTGGAGAACGGTCTATTCCTTCTGCCAGTCTCCACCCAGGGGGATAGGACTTCTTCCAGGGTTTCTACAGTTGGGTCATTTTCCTCAATAAGCAGAGTGGGAGAACCAGTTTCTGAACTTCCTGTGTGCTGCCTCTTGCTCTTGTTGGACTTCAGCATCTGTGCCTGAAACTGGAGCTACTTCCTGGGACTCATTGGCTACAGCAATGCTGGTTGATTACAAGTTCCTACACAGGAATGCTTAAAGCAAAAAGTCCCTCTCTGTAATTTTTTTCTCGGAATCCCTGAGGAAGGTAAGGACAGGAAAAAACAGCCTTCTCATCGATTGCCTGAAGACAAGGCCTGCATTATTTATTTTATTACATCACATTTTTATTCCTCCAAGCGGATTTACAATTTTCTCGCCCTTTTTTAATCCTTGTGGCACTTAGCACAACATTTTAAAGCATAAATATGGTTGAAAAACTACAAGGCTAAATTAAAACCATGTTATAGCTTTCTTGTGTGACTCAAACCATCACACTAAGTCACATTGTGGTTTGCTTGTGCTTAGTTTGTTTATTGAGCAAAACCTTCATTTCTGTCAATTGTGGTTTAAGGGTGATGGTAACCTATTAAGCTATGGTTAGCCTAACCAAGAATAAATATAGTTGACTGGCTTCATGCCACACATTTAGGTGACACATTGTTACCTAAGAGCTAGTTTCAGGAAATATGTTAAGCCACAAAAAAGTATATACAATTTGGTGGCATGTATAAATACAGCCAGCAAATCATGGTGAATTCAATTTATTATTAAATAATTTTCATTTAGCTTGGTTTTCAACATATATGTACATATTTTATGGCTTAATAGAGCATTGGATAGGTATTTCTGAAAGTTTGTTGGAGAGTAATAAGTTTCACAATAAAAAAAGACTTTGAAACTGGGGCTCTGAACCTCACCAGTTAACCCCACTAGAGATTGCCTTGTTTCCTAAAGTGCCCTTTGATCATGAGCTAGATTAACTTTTCCCAATGGCTTTTTAAAAAAATTGTTTCAGTTTAACTCATTATACATCTAATACAGGTTGTGATCGTTTGGAGAACTTTTAGTACAACTCAAAGTCTATCTGGGTAGGTTAATCTTGTGTTCCAGAAGAACAAAGGCAAGATGCCAACTGTTGTAGGCTTAAGACAGCTCTGAAGTACGCCTACATTTTAAAGCCTTCTAAAGTTTGACAAATCTTATCTTAGGTGCTTTCTCATACCTCCTGGTACTTTCCAGTGGAGTGCTGTTGCTTTTATATGGAAACTATCTGTTGTTTTGAAAGCCTTCTTTTCAAAGGTTTGTTGTGAGACTGGTATATTCTGTACCTCACTGTGTTTTCTTTACAATTGGCATTGTCTATATGATGTGTAAGCTGACAATTTCCTGAACAAATCTTTCTGCCTCTATTGCTTTGAGTTGGCTTCACGTATTCCAGTCATCCAAATAATGGCATAAAGCCACACATCATCACTCTATCATGGCATTATAGACTTACTGGCATTATATATTAGTGACAATATACTATTAACATACTGATATGTGGGTGGTTAAAATATTTATACCTAATGAATTAACATATTTTACTATAAAAACATTGTTTTACAGAGTGATCTAGGATTCAGACAGTCTAGTAGCATATTTGAGACTAACAATTTTATTACACAGCAGATGTTTTCATGAGGTGCAGCTTATTTCATTGAATGCATGGAGTAGCTTGAATGAGCTAGATTAACTTTTCCCAAATTGATAACTTCCATGGCAATACTGGTTGGAAATTATGGATGTTGCAATCTATTTTATCTAAAGGGATCAGAAACAAATATTTCTGAGAGAATGTTTTCTTAAAAATTAAATTGAAAGTTAAGTATTGGAATCTTGTTGGGGTCTAGCATGAAGTTCAAGAAGTGGGGAAGTGGAGAGTTGCTGTCACTCAAAGACAGTGGGATGGAGAGTATTTCCATGTAAAAATCAGTCTGTCATTTTCATTCTCCCATAGGCATTACTGCATTTCAGAATGGAGCCATCTCCATTTAACCGAAGGCAATGGGCTTCACATTCACTGAGGATAACTGCCAAAGAATTGTCTCTCGTTAATGCGAACACATCATCAGCTCTCCTGCAAAGGTTCTCCAAGTAAGTTCTGTTGGGATTTTCAGGTTGCGACTTATCAAATAAAACAGTGTTTCTCAACCTTGGCAACTTTAAGTTCTGTGGACTTCAACTCCCAGAATTCCCTAGCCAGCTCTTGCTGGCTGGGGAATTCTGGGAGTTGAAGTCCAGACATCTTCAAGTTGCCAAGGTTGAGAAACACTGAAATAAAATGTTATTTTTTAAGATATATATTGCTATATCCCTTACTATAAAATACCATGTTTGATGTATATGGTGAGCTGATACGCAGTAAAACTTTGTGTCCAGTGCCAGTTTTTCTAAAGATATTTAATAAACATAGAGAAGGCATACATTCACAGACAGAATTTTAGACATTTTTTACAATTAATACTCCAAAACTCTGCTGTAATTAGGCATGTCCACATGAGATGCAAATTGATAAATATCAGAGCTTCCTAATGACAATTTTCAGCCTTGGAGTGGAGGTGTGGAAGGGAACTGAGAAAGCATAATACATGTGCCTATGTATGAGCAGAAGAACAAAATCCTTTCCACATCAGTTCACAATAAGCAACTACTCTTTCCCTGAATACTCTTCAACCAATACAATTTTTTCTTTTCTTTTTTTTCTGGCCAAGTGGCACATTTTCAAACAAAATATTTATTTGGAGTTACCCATACTTTTTATTTCCTAAGAATGCTTAGAAAGTAAAACGTGAACTTCCACCACCACCACCACCACCACCACCACCCTGACATTTTTTATAAGGATAATGCTATAATCTGATGCTTTACTTTGTAGCATTTATTGTTTCTGTTGTTATTCTTTGTGTAAATTCCCCTAATGTCTGGTGGCCCCATCAACAAGGGAAATGTCTGACATGGGTCTACTGGATGTCTACTGGATGGGTGGGTTCCAGCTTCTGTTACTGCCGTTTCGCTCAGGGACACGCTTCAGACGCAGTAGTAAAAAAATTGCTTCTGCACATGGGCAGAAACAGAAAACAAGATGGCGGTGCCTATGGCACCACCGATAAAACCGGTTTGGGGATGTGGTCGGCCAAGTTACTACCTACTTGGCTGAACCAGTCTGAACCAGTAGGAACCCACTTCTGGTCTACTGGCACTGCATTGCATACTCCCTGGCTTAGCTAATGGAATCATCATTAGCTTGGTATAGGGATGAATATTTAACATGGAAAGTATTTTGCTATGTATTTTTCAGGAATTTACTTTTTCCTTTTAAAATTTTATTATTTGATATGCAGTTAAAAGGTAGATACTAGGGTTCAAGAAAATAGAGCAAGCTTGAGCTGATAAGGAACAAATGGGAATAATGGGCCTAGATTTAAGGCCTCTGTTCTGAGGGCCTGAGGGGGTCCAATATGGTTGTGACAACTAGCATATACTTTGGAGATTTTGACTGCTCAATTCACATGTCCCATCAAACTATACTTTGCTGCACTTTATATATGTTTGATCACAGTATGTGACTATAGTTTAGCCAGATGTATTTTGTTACTTTCTAGCTGGTCTGTGCTGCAATTTCTGTGCGGGCACATTATCTGTAGTTTGTTTGGTTTACACATATGACACTAAATTTGAGTTTCTATGTATTAGACAATTATGTTTCTTTGCAGAAAGAAAAAGGCAGGGAGTTGAGAAAACGGCATTTTTGTTCTTAGGAAAGTCAACGTCATTGTAACCAAGGAAAAAAAGAGCCGCAATTGGCAGCATATTCCGCCTTAAGTGTTTTCAGGAAATGCCTTCCCTGAATTCCTGAGAGAGAGAAAGAGAGCACAAGTGAGCATAGTTCAGTTTAAAATTTCCAAAGGAGACAGGATAGAATTGAAAAGGCCTCACTGTGGTAATCCAAACTTTCAGCAATTTTACCTGCCACTAGCATGACAGCACCTCCTTCACAGGCTGAAATTAGAACTGATTATCTGTGGACTTGTTCAAGATGGACCAGCAAAGGCTCACATTCCGAATATACTCAACCTCCTCCAGCTTTAGCGAGGTGGCCCATTCATATACAGAGGCTGCTATAACTGATGGACTGATTTCTTAATTCTTGATGAAAAGATCCTAAAGATAGTTCCCGAAGTACCAGTGTCCACTTAGATACCTCTTCAGTACCCCACAAGCTTTTTGTCCCAATAGATTTTTAAAATGAATTTAGTTTAATTTAAAAAAAATGAAAATTAGTGTATGACAACTGACCGCTTCCACTTTTATTTTCAAGGATACTTCTAGGCCCCATCAGCTTGATGGATGACTGCAAGAGAGTACCTTGTTTAAAACTGTGTGGGTGTAAATTAAAACAAAAAGTGCCCCATTACTGGAGATTTTCCAGAATAGCCTGGATAAGCATTTGACTCAGATGGTATAAGTTCTGCAGCCTTGAGCAGAGGGTTTGGACTAGATGATCTCCAAGGACGCTTCCAGCCCTATGATTCTATAAAATGGACAAAAGTAGAGGAAGCATCTAATGTAGGAGAGAGGCTAAACTCAGGTGCTTTGTGGTGTGTGTTGTTTGGCAACCACTATTTCACAAGGTCCCACAGAACTATTTTTAAAATTCCAAATAGACGAAACTGGTTAAAAAGCGAGGCTATCCTTATTCCCCATGGTCAATATGCACACTTGTATTTTTCAATGATTGTATGCTGATCTTTGCTAATAGTATTGCAATACCTCCAATTAGTATTTAATTTGACTCCTTTTAGGCCATACAGTGGAATCAGAAATAATTTTAAATTCTCAGAAATGTATAATTTGACAAGAGGATGGCTGGTTCATATCATTAAGCCACATTTTGGCCAAATTAACCCCCATTAAGCCATGTTGCTAGTATAATAAGTCACTTCTGCATATAAGCTTTTTAGCTTTGAATTTGCTTATTGAAAGAGTTGACTGCAGATTAGTACCAAGGCTGACAGAAGGTTAATCACATATATTTTCAGACTATCGGAAAGAAACTTTTAAGAAGATGCAATATAGTGAGAACTAGCTACAGCATATTTTGTTTTGAGGATGGGAACAGGTCATACTGGCATTCATTTCATCATTTGCTTCCCATAGTTCACTTGCTACCCCCACCCACATTTTGCTCTCTTCTACAATATTCTAAAATTGTTATTCCACCAGGAAACTACTGAATCAGTTAAATATATCCGATAACTTTACTTGCCTGCTAAATGTTTTCCTGTTCAATGTTTTGTTACTTTAGCAGAATGTTACTGCAGTTTTCTAATTAGTTTTAATTATTAAAAGCTACTCTCAAAAGTGCGCCTACAGGGGTGGCAATATAAATCATTAAATAATGTCTGCATTTGCTTTAGTTAGGCTACAGACTAATCCAGTCCAAGGTGATATGTTGTCTGAAGTTAGAACAACTTTTAAAAATGTAAATTTGAGGACTATAGGCTAAATTATTCTGGCATCAAAGGCAGAAAAAAACTACAAGTCTCTTTCTCTGGAATAAATAATAAATGTAGTTTTCAGTAAGGGAGACAGCCTTGCATTTATTTATTCCGAAAGTGGGAGACAACGAGGAGCTGCTTGGCTCTTTCAAATTATTGGCTGTGGAGGCTGTATAGGAGTGCTCCAAACTCTATATAGGTGGAGCCAAAATTAGGACTAGGGACTTGGTTGCTAAGCAAAGTGGTCAGGAAGTAAAACCACGAAAGTACTTATGATCAAAGTTCAGGTTCTTTTGCTTTGCAGACTGGCCAAGGTCAAAAATGCAAATATTAGTTGTAAACTTATTTTTCCCCATCATTGTAACTACATATGATCAGTAAACAAGTCAGTTGCAAAATGGGTGCTATCTGCATCCTGTGAGACGGTGTGAGAGCTTCCAGGGCAGAGAGGGATCATCTGATTCTCATCTGATCACTCTAAGAGCAGCCAGGTCAGAGAGAGAACAGATTATACTTGTATGGCTTTTTCCCATTTTCCTACCCTTCCCTTCCCACTGTAAGTACGGTTAGCAGCACCCTGGCTGACCTTTAAAACCCGATCAGTGTCAGACTTAGTTAATCCTTGGATCCCTGCATTGTAAGATAAACTCGGCAGTAAGACCAAGAATTCCACAAGAAGCCATATCAAAATACTTTATTCTTTACATACATGAGTGTGTCTGTGAAGTCATCAGGAATTAAATGTAATCTCAAGGAGAGTTTACTTTTTAATTGTGTAGGAGGAGAGCCCTGTTGTAGCAAAAGGCATAAACTTTTGTGAATTGCAGCTTGGTTCATCAGATGCAAAAAAGTGGCTGGACTGGTGTAGGATTTAAATTCTTTTTAACAGTAAACTTGAAGACAGATCAGATGTTGTTATTGTTGTTATACAGTAGCCTGATCTGGAAGTTCTTCTCACTAAAAAAAGGTTTTAAATCCAGATTCTATAGCCAAAGATTGCATCAGCTCACAGAGACATTGCTAAGATTCTGATTTGTTCATTGAACCATAAATGGGTTTATACAACATGTTGAGGCATAAACTATGGTTTACAAAGCAGAGAGGCCAGGCGTGCATAGCTACTATCCTAGATCAAAATATTCATTTGGAAAAAAATAAAATAAAAGCAGCTCTGTCATATTTGTTGCATGAATTCATTTGGTAGAAATTTCAGCAACATATGAGAACAAACTAAATATCAGTCAGGAAACCAATGAAGCAATTGTTGCTGTTCATTCATCAAGACAATCCAGGTTTATACCTGGATTTGAATTGGACCAAGAGAAAAATAATGATTGTCATGATTGAAGCAGAATGTAAAATTAACAAATAGGTCATAGAAAGCATTGCTCAGCAATTGTAGTAGAGAGGCATATCTATGGACCAGGGGTGTCAAACTCACAGCGTCATGGTGGTGTCACATGACATATTAGGACTTCCCCCCCTTCGCTAAACAAGGCATGGGCGTGGCCCGCAGGTGATGCATTCAGCCGTGGGCCGGGAGTTTGACAGCCCTGCTGTAGACCAGAAGCATGCAAAGACAGGTCATAGCTAGTGCCATCAGTGAGGCACCATAGAATATTTCTCCAACGCTCAGGGTTAGTTTGATTATCAAAGTCTGAATTTATGCAACTTTGTGTTCCTTGGAGGAACAGTGGGACTTAATTGAAATTCTGTTGAAATAGTTCAACTGAAGCAGATTGCTCAAAGTTTTGTTTCTCACAATGACCACATACTTCAATTTTGTGCTTGTTCTTGGAGTTCTACTTTGAACTGGTAGCAGTAGTACTTAGGCTTATATACCGCTTCACAGTGCTTTACAGCCCTCTCTAAGCGGTTTACAGAGTTGGCATATTGTTCCCAAACAATCTGTATCCTCATTTTACCCACCTCAGAAGGATGAAAAGCTGAGCCAACCTTGAACCAGTCAGGATTGAACTCCTGGCAGTCCGGAGAATTAGCGTGTAATACTGCATTCTAATCAGTGTTCCTCTTCCAGAAATGCTGTTTCAGCCTTTCTCTTAGTTTTCTCTTGAGCAGTGTTTCTCAGGCTTTAAGAAGTGTGGACGTCAAGCTGGCTAGGGAATTCTGGGAATTGAAGTCCACACATCTTAAAGTTGCCAAGCTTGAGAAGTACTGCTCTAGCTGCATCCAGTCTATATGGCCTGCAATTTCCAAAGTTCTGCAATACATGAACAGCATGTTGCAGACATTTGAAGAGCACTAGGTGGTGAAAGCTGATGCATGTGTTTATGTGTTAAATATTTCACTGCTGGACTCTTGAAATGGAGTGTTTGTACAAAGTAGTGAATACGTTTCTGGGAAGCAAATTCCCTCTGATTGTAGAGGCATGCGGGGTCACAGCTGTGGAGAAAATTCATGATCAGTTATGATTGTAGAAGATCCCTTAAAGCCAATCTGAGCCAGCTGCCATTATCCCATCTTGATGAAGTGAGATTTCAGGACCCTATGTTGCTGACACACATGAAAAAGCCTGGTAGAACTGTAGGGTAAAATTGTTCTGAGAGGGGATAGCACCTTGAGGCAGTTCAAAACTTTTCCTTACATTGGCTCAGGCATAAGATTGGGACAATGTCCGTACACATTAAAAAAAACCCATGTATATTCCATATTTTACTGGAGTGTCGAGTGACTATGTTCTGTGGGCGTCCTTTTGATCTAATCTGTTTTGCCAGTAAAGGAACTTGAATTCTGTTGCATTCTACTGATTTTTCCCCATATTGTTTTTTTATTATTCGGAAGCAGAAAAATGTATAATTAGTAATAGGATCTGTATCTGGAGGCTGCTAAAGAAGTGGCATAATTGCAAAGGCTATCAGTTCAGCCTTAGTTACGGGTGTGGTGATCAGCCTTTTCAGCCTGATCAGCAGTGACTCGCCTCTGGTTTATTATTATCTCACCTGCTGGTTTTAACTTGTTCTGCAATTGCTGCTTGGTATGTAAACGTGGAAAAAGTCATCTTGAAATAATTATCTGGCTTGAAGGCTTTTAATCGTTCCTCATCAGAGGCTTCCAAGAGCACCAGAAACTTCAAAAATTAAATAGCTTTAAATAATTATAGATAGCTAAGGCTATGGTGTAAATCAATTGCACAATGTATATCCTTGTTAATCTTTTACCACAAAATGTTATGCAATTTTTATTTATCTTTAAAGGATAAACGTTTGTTGGATTTTGTCTTACTTTATCAGAGTGAGCCATGAAGTATTAAGGCAGCTGGATTACAATTCTTTGCTTTCTGTGGATACATTTGCATATGGGCTGATCTGGCTGCATGAAATTAGCACTTTGCTTTTTGCAAAATGATCTGTAGCTGGTAAAAAGTGTGTATTATGCACATGTGGCCCTTTAAAATATTTATTTTGTTTAGTTTTGCATGGGATTTTCTTAGGTTTTTTAATAAGATCACATGTTTGTTCCCCTTTTCTACTAAACTGTGATATCAATTACTTATAGCTTGTTATTAAAATAATAATAATTAGTTGTTTCTTGAAATTTTGTATACATGTCAATGAAAAGTTTAGTGGTTGAAATAAAAATGTTTTTGTCTATCTTTTGCCATCCTTTCCTGTAAAGGTACCAGAAGGCAGCTGAAGAAGCAGCTGCGGAGAAAAAAAGGAGTGTAAGTATTTTGAAATTGTTATGAATTCAGTAGTAGCACGACAACTTCATGACATCTCAGTTTTTTGATCCCCTCTAGCAGTTACTTTTGAATTTCCTCAAAAGATTTTCGCTTGTCTCCTCTTCCAATGCTGACTCTGAGAAATGTTCTTAGCCTTAGGCCTTAGTTTAGATCAGTGTTTCTCAACCTTGGCAACTTGAAGATGTCCGGACTTCAACTCCCAGAATTCTGGGAGTTGAAGTCCGGACATCTTCAAGTTGCCAAGGTTGAGAAACACTGGTTTAGATCAGGGGTGGGGAACCACAGCCCTTTTATGCTGGCTCAGGAATTCTGGAAGTTGAAGCCCACAGGTCATAAAAGGGCCGTGGTTCCCCACCCTGGTTTAGACTTTGCTATGACGCAGTTTCTTTTCTTCACACGAGGGTTGACTAATGAGAAAACCAAGTAAATTTCCTGACATTCAAAACGTCTGAGACGCTAACTTATTTGTCCTAAATTCAAAGCACACTGTTCAATTTTTATGCAGTTGTAATGCTAACTTTCAAATTTAGATGCAGGCTGTCTGCATAATTCTGCCTCTCTGCTTGTGTGTTAATTTTTCAGCTGATTCCTTATATTTATGTAAATAAGGTTGATTTTGGTTCTTGATTATATTTTAATCAGCAAAGTAGCAGTCTGAAGAGAAAAAAAAAGCTAACATGCCATTACTTTCCAAATAACATCTTTACTATTCCAAGTAATACTTTCCCGCTGTTCAGAGATTTTTTTTGTTATCAGATTCTGTTTCTGACTCAGAGCTTCAGTTCTGAAATGAGAACATCATAAATCCCACCTAAGCTTCCCCCCTCCCACACATCTTGGAAAACTCCAGGACTAGAATTACAAATTAATATGATCAGAATATTGTAATCCTTCATTACTGTGGATTGTCCTTGAATTACAACCGTTTGTTTAATAAGAGTCCAGAATTACAATGGCCTCAGAAAGGGTGCTTTCCAGCTCATAAAGCACTTCCTGCTATCCCAAAACATTGAACAGTCATGTGATCATAATCTGGGTTCTTGGCAATCTATCTGCACTTATGATTGGTTGCCAAGCGTGCCACAATTATGATTGCCATATGCAACCTTCTCAGTGGTGGGATTCAAAAAAAATTTCACTACCGGTTGTGTGGGTGTGGCTTGGTGGGTGTGGCATGGATTGGTGGGCGTGGCAGAGGAAAGATACTGCAAAATCCCCATTTCCTCCTGATCAGCTGGGACTTGGGAGGCAGAGAATAGATGGGGGCGGGGCCAGTCAGAGGTGGTATTTACCGGTTCTCTGAACTACACAAAATTTCCGCTACCGGTTCTCCAGAACTGATCAGAACCATCTGAATCCCACCTGTGAACCTTCTCCAGAAAGTTAGTGAGGGAAACTAACAAAAAAGAGTGCAAACAGCTTCTTCATGTCTCTGTGGGTTGGCTGAAAGAGCTCCCTGCTAAGGGAAGCTGAACTCGTTTGGCAGGGTGCAGAAACAGAGCTGCAGTCGGATTCCTTCTGTGCACACAGAGGAGGTGAAATCCTTTGGCAGGCAGCTTTCAACCATCCCCAGAGACAAGAGGGTCCTAAAATCCAAACCCGGAGCTAAGTGGCAGCCTGGTAAAGTAAGGAATGCAGAGTGCCCCAGTCAAGTACAGAAGGCCCTGGAAAGCCAAGCACAGGCCACACACAAGTGTCTTTTTGCTCAGTGGCTGAAAATCCTATTTGGATTTTGGCAGGATTTTCAGGTCCTGAACAGAGCCTCCTATGATCTCTTCTATTTTCCTTAGCCACCCTGCAATCCTTACCTGGAACTCTACCTAACAATGCCTAAGATTGCTTAACAACCACAACCGAGAAACCAAGAAACCACCGCCTGGGCATCTGAATTAATGATGGCTTTGTTCAGTGACTAAGATTTTGGTCCCAATTGTGATCATGAGTCAAGAATTACCTGTCTGTTAATTGACTACAATCTCTCTCTATTTTGGTTCTAAACAAAGCAAACCACACTTTTTAAGCCTTTTATACACATATCCTTCTAGTGAAACCCACAAGAATAATATAAAGACACAGTAGCCAAATTCACAGATTGTACCAACCCATGGATCGCTTACACGTATTTAACCAAATAAGCCTCAATTGACTGGGTGTGCCAAATGTGCTGCTGAGCCTAGGCTCATGCTGCTGTGTACCACATCCCTTTATAGACATTGCATTGCATGTTGGAAAGGAAGGACATCCAGAAATGCGTGTGGTGTTGGAGAATGAGAACAATAGCACCTTCCTTTGCCTCCTGCTCCAACATGAAGAAAGTTGGGAGAATGATCTGGTTTTAAGAATATTTGAAGTTGCTTCTGAATTGTCCTGATGTACAGACTATTCACTTCTCTAATCATTAACTCAAAATTTTGGAACAGGATATTTGACATAACAAAAGCATTTGCAAAAAAAGAAAGCTGTAGAACAGTCTTCCAGTGGCAGAAGATAGCCCAAGTTTTATTCTTGCATGCAAAGTTTGTACTTTTCATCTACATGCAGGTGTGAAGTCATTCTGCTTAGAATTTTTCCTAAATTTGCCTATGACAGTATAATTAAGTAGATACACGGGTGGTTGTTGTTGTTTTGCCATGTTTTCCTATGCTGGAAGCAGCATAGTTAAAGTTATCCTTAGTGATTCTTCTTTTTAACTTGTGTTTTTCCTCTTAAGTAGTCGCTAACTCATGGCAGTTTTACCATAAAGTATAGATTCCCCTCACATATATGTGCTAGTCATTCCCGATTCTACTTTATCATAGGTGCACTCTAATGCTATTTCGTAACCCTTCTGGTGGTGACTTCTTAAGAGGGTGGAATTAGCCTGGCACCTATTGGCCACTTGAGGCTGCTGCAGCCATGGCTTTTCCCAAGGCCAGGTTGTCTGCTTGTAGATCTGGTTTAAAAGGAGGATCAGCCCAGCTAACACCCAACTGGCACCTGGAGGTCTGTGCAGTATAGGGGAAGGCAGAGAAGCCTGTTCATTCTCTCCTGCTTTCTTTACATCCTCATCTCCACTCACTTAAACTCATATTTGAAGGGAGTCTAACTTACAGCTAGCTTATAGAGGGAGGCAGTGTGGTGCAGCAACTTTCTCTCTGGTTTCAACACACAACTCCTTGTCTTCTCCCCAACTCTCATACTACGTTAAGGAGAGAAATTGGACCGGGAGGTATTTTCTCTGTTGTTGGTGCTGTTTGGTGGGAAGGAAGGGAAACAGAAGCAAAGGAATGAATGATGCATTCCTTTTCCTCAACTTGCCCCATGCACCATAAATGACCATTTAATGGCAGCAGAGATAAGAGAAAAAACAGCACTAGGTGTAGCAAATATTCAACCAAGTTAAGAACTTATGGATAATACTTTAACCAGCCATTGGAAAAATGGCCTTGGTGACAAATAATCTTCCTGCATGCCTGGTTCTGTTTCTGGGAACAAAACATGCCAGGAGGATTTTAGCTTTGTTTTCTAATTTATATTATACTAGCCGATAACCCGGCATTGCCCGGGTATTTATTTATAGGGGGGAAATGTCTGGACCAAATGTAATTTCTAATGTTGGATTTTCCCCCTTACCAGAGTGAGTCCCCTTGTAGAAGCCATTTTACAGCAGTACATTAGAAACCATTTTAAGGCACAACAGGCCGTATCTTAACAGAACACACTGTTTTTCAAAACCCAGCCTGAAGATGGTGAGTGAAACCTTGCTGAAACGTTGCCAAGACAATCTCAATCTTACACAGGAAAAGACCCGAATACAACAAGACCAGCATGACCTGTGAAAATCACAGTGCCCCCAACCTTTTTGGCACCAGGGATTAGTTCAATGGAGAGAGGTTTTTTCCCGAACTGGAGGAAGCGTGGTTTTCATATGCTGTCTTCTGTATCCTGCAATGGGGCTTCGCTTGTTTGCACATGCCACGGACCAGTGCTGGTCCATTAACATAAGGAATTGTCAGCCAAACAGTATTCACTTACTATTAACTGTCTTGTCCTGTTTTGGGGTCCAGTATAAATACATTTTTCATAAGTATAAGTAAATCATTAGCATTTCCTTGTGTTCCCTGTAGCCTTACAAATTTCTGCTGCAGAAATTTAGCCTTCCAAATTTCTGCTGCAGAGTATATTCCCAGGAACTGGGAATCAGGCTGAGTCAAGAATTTTGTGCAGTGAGAGCTTAGGTCACTCTTTGAAGCACAAAGCAGAATATATTGCAATTTTTGGATCACTGTCCTCAATCACTGCCTTCAAATTATATTTTCCAGTCCACAGATATGAGCCCATAGGCATCCATCAGAACAACTTGCATCCGAAACCTCTGATTATGAAGTCAGGCAATTAGTGTGGGCTGATCTTCTTTGAGAACTAGGACTGCATCCTCACAGGGAAAGCATCTTAGCTGGACTCAGTGTTTTAAAAACAGGAAGCAGAAACAGTCGCATTTCTGGACTGATCACCTCATCAAAGTCTTCAGATGCAGATTTTGAATTAATGGTGGAAGGGAAAGGAGAGGGAGGAGCAGCAGGGCAAAGAACAGCCCTGCTATGCAAGCAATGAGTTCTCTTCCCTCAGTCAGTTCTCTCGGGTTGAGAGACACCTGGGAAACGTAGAAGAAGAAGCTGCTTCTGGTTAAAACCTTTGGCCTCTACAGCCAGAGGAAAATGGGGGAAAATAACCTAAAACAGAGCTGGCTAAATCGAGGCAATCCTCAATTTACAATTGAGCCCAAAATTTCTGTTAAGCGAATTTTGTCCCATTTTATGACCTTTCTCGCCAAGTCATTAAATGGGTCACTGCAGTGAATCTGGCTTCCCCATTGACATTGCTTGTCGGAAGGCCACAAAAGGTGATCCACATGACCTCAGGAGACTCAACCGTCATAAATATGAGTCAGTTGCCAAGTGTCTGAATTTTGATCACATGACCATGGTGATGCTACGATGGTCGTAAGTGTGAAAAACAGCCCTACATCACTTTTTCCAGTGCCATTGTAACTTCAAACGGTCACTAAATGAACTGTTGTAAGTCAAGGACTACATGTGTATGGGATGGAGCATATAGAAAGCTACCATCATATCATTACACACACAACACACACACATACACACACACACAATATCTTTTTGGTGGTAAAGAAAAAAAAGACGGAAGCACAATGGAAAACCTGGTGACAAATGGAAGTTGACAACGTTTCCAACACTGGTAAAAATTATATAAATTAAAAAAGGGACATTAGACAATAACAGATTTTTTGGTTATTAACTCTAGTCCTTGGAGTTTCTCTGTATTTAACCAGTGAAGTTACAATTGCCTCTGTAACACCCCTACTACTGTGTTCACTGAAGTGATTTCATTTAAATAGCTCTGAATTTAAACAGATTGCTGATTAAATATGCTGATTTTGGCATCCGTAATCTAATGTAGGGTACTGAATGTGGATACAGCTTTTGCTAATGTTTGACCTTATCCGTGCTTCTGATTCTGTTGTCTGCTCAGCATAACCTTCCAACCTTACTATGAGTATTTGTGTGCTGCCTGGAAACTGCTTATCCTCTGTGTTAGATGAAGTTTTGTTCCGGTGAGCTTGAGAACTCTCTGTCCTGCTTTTGATTGTTATCAAACTTGGCTCCCCCCCCCTCCTCTTTTAGCATTCCTCATCTAATGTGTGACTCACTGTATTAAAGAGCTGACTCTTGGACCTGTGTCTGTTAGATAGCAATGCTGTTTGGCCAATGATTCTTTTGACGTACAAAATTGAATAGTAAACTGTGAGTCAGGTCAGCAGAGGCCACAAAAGTGAGCTGTGCATAGGGGCTTTTCAACAATGAATTCAAAGAGTGTCCAAGATGAGTCATAGTGTGCTGTACTGTTTATTCCAGATGCAACCGAATACTTTTTTGAAACCTGATTTTTCTATAAAAGCACTAACATTTACATTGCTTTATGTGGTTCTGTACCTCTTCTCCTCCCCCTCATTTTTTTAAAAAATTCTGACTCCCTGATCTTGCACTATTACTTTTCTCTGCAAATTTAAACCTGCTTGAAATGGAGCAGAAAATGGATTGTTTCTGAAAGTTACGTTCCCTTCTCACTGATTTGCAAGGTGGAACTTTGCAAATCAGTATAGCAAAGTAAGTATAACAAACTAGGAAGATACAGGTTGCCAACTACTATGAATGGCTCACTTAGAAAAAATTGGGAAGAGGAGTTGCCCGTTAAGTAAGTAAAAAGCTTGTGTTAAAACAGGAATGGCACAATGGTCTACCTTAAATCTTTCAGACCCCTTTGATTTTTTTAAAAATCATTTCTTCGGTGGTCCAAATCACAAGCCTTGTAAGGGTGTGATCCACCTTTAATAAATAGGTAAAAAGAAATAAAATTAATGGCTGGCACAGTTGGGAAGAAAATTACCAAAATATTATCAGCGAATGCTTATAAAGAACAGAGTGAATGACAAGTTCACCTCATCCCATTCCTAAGAGGTCCTTAAAAGGAGCACACCAGCGTGCCTACCATCCCTGTCCTACTGTCTCCATTTATTCATACCCATTTACTGTGTTCATATTTAAGTTCATACTTATGCCTGTTATCTTTTACATGTTTGACAAACTAAATAAAATAAAAGTTCCTTGAAAGATAAGCCTCAATTAAAAAAAAACAAAAAACAGCTTGCTTGTTGGGTCCTCTTTGTCATCCTGCGGAGCAGATGGGAGGCAAGGGGTTCTTTTGACAGTAGCCATCTCATATGGCTTCCCACCTATTCTGGAAGCAGCCTGGGAGAAGGTGGGCTTTTGTTCCCTCCTTCCTTTGTGCCGAATGTTGAGGCAAAGAGGCTTGGTTCTAGCTCTCTCATTCAGTGGAGTCCCTTGCTTCCATATAAGGCCATCCTGCTTTCTCACTTCCTGCTTCAGCTCCTTTTTCCTTTTCCCCTCCCTTCTCCCCTTCCTTGCCCTGGATCCAGCCTTGCTCCATGTGGCACAGCTCTAACGATTCACAGCTGTCTGAAAGTGCCGTCCGCTCGGGCTTTTTGAACTTCCTTTCTTTCCTGGGGGAAGAACTGGGAGATAGCTTTTATAACCGGTCTCGCTTTCTTGCTGTTTTTTTTTAGAGCATTGATCCACTTCCCCCTAATTTTAAAAGGGGGAACCTCAGCATCTTGAAGAAGAAGTGGGAAAATCCAAACTTGGGGACGGAAGTCCGGAAGGAAGCCGTGGAAAGCTGCCGTGCTGAGGTTAGGCAGAAGGCTGTCAGCCCTGGTGGTGGAACTGAAAGCGTCTCTGCTTCCCTAGCAGAAATTAACCAAACCTCAGGGATTAGTTCAAGATTGAGACTTCGGTCCTCTTCCAGATTGTTTGGCCGGTTCAGATATCCCAGTATTGGCAGCGAAGACGATAAAGCACAATCATCTCAGAGTGGGGAAATGGAAAATTGTCTTAGAGAATCCAGACAAGACATAGGAAAGCTGGAGACCAGTGAAATCCCAGAATCGTCAGGGAAAATAGAGAAGTTTAATGTTCCTCTAAGCAAACTAAAGATGATGTTTGAGAGGGGGGATGCGGTTCAAACAAAGGTAAGGAATGATTTGCTTCAGTTCTCCCTGGCTCTTGAAAAGAAAAGAAAAAATGGCAAAAAGGATGACTAAAATCTGCCGGCTGTCGGTATCTTTTATTTGTCCCATTGTCAAAAAATTCCCACCTTTTGTGGATAGCACAATAATTCTTTCCCACAATAATTCTTGCTCAAAGGAGAAGAGTTTGTGTGGCATAATGCAGGTTTTTTTTTAAGAATGCCAATAGCTGTTGCAAAAAGAAACCTAATTAATTGAGGTTAGCCTAATTGGGGTGTTGGCCCTATTGAAGCCTCCAAATAAATTGAGAAGTGTGCATGCATGGAATTGTGAAAAGAACATGGGGAATGTGTGTGTGCATGCACTTATATTGTGATTGCAGGGCAAACGTTCCTTGATTATTATTTTTTTGAGTTGTGGAAACTAATGTTTGAAGCTACAGTTTTTGCACTTTTTCTGTCTGCATCCTGGCAAATGTTTCTGTCTGCTGCTAAATCTTCTCACAGGAAGAAAGTGTGTGATGATAGGCTGAGAAATGCCTGTCTTCCACCAGTTTTGACTTGCAAATTCATGGGCCTTGCATTTTCCTACAAGTACTCGTGAAATCTGATCCAGCATGTGGACTACAGACTGTATCCCTGGGGGAAATTGCAAATTGAGTAACAAGAAAATGAGTTGCATATGGTAGTGGCTTGAAGCACTCTTTGGTTGACTTTTCCCAGTTTCTTCATAGTTTCCCGTCAGTTTAGTCCCTTGTATGTGTTCCAAGTATATGCTGGAATATAAACAAGATATAGTTGTGATTTAGAATTCCTCAGGGCTTTGAAAAGGTGAATTACTTTGGAGTCAAGCTAAATTTTGTAAATTAGATCTCCAAATCTAGGTTGCCACAGGAGCAGTTTATTTTACCTTAACTAGATACAGCCTGCTACGCTGATTGAGTGGTCCAATTAGATCTGAACATAACATGGATGAAATAGCTGGGTGTGTACAGGACATGTGGACACCTGATCTGTAGACATAGATTACTCACCTTAAACATGTTTCAAAATTTAATGTAGATACTGCCTGTATTGGTTCAAGGCCAAATTTAAAATCACTTAAGGTAGGAATATGCAACTTTTCCAGTTTTACTCAATCTTTCAGTTATTTAAAAAACCTGGCCCATAGAGAAAATATTTCATGCTCTTTATAATTAGAAAGCTATTCTTAGCTATGGAGAAATGATCTTGCAGAAAGAATGTTTCAGCCTGAGGACATGATCTTTAGTTGCATATTTATGATAGTTTACATTTTAAAAAATGTCATAAAAATTGTCCGTTGTAAAAGTGATATCCTAATAGATATGATTGTTGTGTAGTTTTGCATCACTGACAAATTAGTACTACAGAAAATATGTTGTAGCAGCATATTTAAGATTTTTCAGATGCACAAAAGTTGTGATAGTAAACTAGATGCTCTAGTAGCTAAACTTTAATCAATTTTGGGCAAAATCTTCTAAAATATATGTGCAATGGACAGAATTAATTTACTACAAGGCTCTGGAAACTTCAGATCAGGATTGGAATATATAATGCAGTTCCCATTGATTCATATGCCTGACGTGTCCCCAGTGTACCGACCTGATATGTTCAGAATCCACTAGATCAGGTGTCACCAACATTTCGGACCTCAGGGACCACTAAATTCATAATTTTAAATTCCACAGACCACTAATATGATCTGCCTAATGACCGGCTGGGTGGGCGTGGCTAGGTGGTCATGTGACTGGGTGAGCATGGCCAACTCAATGTCACTCACGTCAAGGGATGCCTCGCCAGTGCCTCTATTCACCCCTCCAAGCCACTCCTTGCCTCCCCAGCCGGGCTCCTTAGGGCCCCAGCAGGAAGCAGTTGTTGGAGCTAAGCAGCCACCATGAGAAAGAGTTGGCAAAACAGCTCCATTCAAATTGGATCTGACCAAGAAGGAGGCTCAGCAGAAGCACCTCACCGAGGACTATGAGCGTAGGCTTTCCAAGCAGATGGAAAACCTGTGGGAGTGTAAGGCCAGGTTCCAGCGCCTGGAGGCTCAGCAGGCTGAGATGGTCAGCCAGTTCCAGGCCCCGATGCAGTCCCATT